GGCAACGCCAATCGTGATCGCAATCAAAAGTGACGGGTATGACAGCAATGACAAAAAAGGTTTCGCCAGTGCCCGTGTCGAAGAGATGGTAGAGGAAAAATAGATCTCCCTGAATGCCTCTGATTTCTAGCGGGTAAAAATCCAGTTGGGTATGGGAGGTCCCTGAATCCAAGGACGGATTTTGTAGCAGATCTCTGGACGCGCTCAAGGCAGTCATGATCTCGGATAAAGCCAGAGTGTGCAACTTGGCTACCTTAGTCTAAGAGAGAGCGGATGTACGTTCCGTAAATAATGGAAAATCATCCTTCAAAATACGGGGGAAACATCCTTTGATAAGGTTTAGGGCCCGAAAAGCGGCCTTACTGACTAGATGGTTATGATAAGAGAAAGACAGAGTGTTGTTTGACCAAAAAACAAGAACTTTGTATTGGTTTAGTTGGGGAAGTAGGTGGGAACCTTCTATCGGTCAGGTCAGGTCACAAGACTTTAGGCTTCGGTCAGTGGACGTCCAGGTTCTTGCACTTGTGATTCTCACTGTGCTGTGACTGCCAGGTAGTTCAACAGTTGTGATGGGTGTTGTAGCTACAAGGGAAGAGATGAAGAACAGGATCGCCCTCGGGGTAACAGCAGTCTTAATCATTTGACAGGCGCCGCACCTCAGCGGACTGCTACTCCAGCCATGAGAGCTTCCGGGGGCTGATGACAGAAAAAAAAATATTTGTGTCAATTGTGCGTGAGGTGCGTGATGCAAAGGAGTGATGGTAGAAATAGGCAACGGTTACAAAAGGAGGATGTGGGTAGTGATTCAGACTTTTACTAGCCATACACTGGAAACACCTCGTCCCATCAGTTTTCTAGTCTCCGCTCGAATTGCAGAACACTGGATACTGCTACGACTGTAGGTGAAAGTTTGTTCCATGCCTTTAACACGCGGTGGTCAGGTCGGGTCCCAGGACGTGCGGCTGATGCCAGGTACCGTCCAGTTTCTTGCACTGATGAGCTGCGATCGTCTTCTCGTAGTGCTTCGGCAGCGTTTCAGTATGTACTCGGTATCGTTCTTCGTCTGTGAAAGAGTAAGGTTTGCAGCCCGTATACTCTGACAGGAGGACTAGCCATTCAGAGTTGTGCAGACTGAAGCCGCTTATCCGACGTCGCACACTCCCCATCGTGTTCGATCCCTCCAGGAGGGACTCGGGAAGGTCAAAAGAGTATAAAATCAAAAGTGGAGCACTTTAAAATGTGAGATTTTTAGGAGTAAATGGAGTAACGCAGAACGAAACGGAACGAAAAAATGAGATATAATATCTGAGGGCACTTCTAAACATGGAGGTCCTCTAGGAACACTTGCTCCCAATACTGGTCGAGTTGGAGCTTGAACACGGCACCTGATTCAGCCGCTATCACATCCATAGGTAGGGTAGTGCCGCAACAATCGACTGATCATCTCCGCTCCGCTACGCAATTCAGTGATAGAAGACCTGCACAAAAGCCACTTACGGGTGGAGAAGATGAAGTCGTTGGCAAGAAAGATGTGTTGGTGACCCAGTCTAGATGAAGACATCGACCGAACCGCTAAGAACTGTGAAGCATGCCTACAAAGCACAGGTCAAAACCGAATAATTGAGCACCATGGCAACGCGTGCGCGCCGACTTCTGTGGATCATTTCTCGGTCATTATCACGCACTAGTACTTATCAATTCGTACTTAAAATGGCCTGAAGTGTTTCTAACCAGCATACCAACTACATCGTTTGTGATGCGGGTACTACAAAAGTGTTTCAGTCGAGAGGATGTTCCTCAAATGTTGGTGACTGACAATGGGTCACAATTCTGCGCTGCGGAGTTGAAAACTTTGCTGGACAGTATTGGCTGCCGACATCTGCGCACAGCACCACGTTACCCCTGCTCGAACGGCATAGCAGAAAATTTGGTGAAAATGTTGAAGAGTGCCATTTTCTCTGCAAATCCAAGGACAATTTTAGAGTTGGAGATACTCCTAGACAACTTCTTATTGCAATATCGGAATGCCGCACATACTACCACCAAAGAGAGCCCAGCGAAACTGTTCAAAGCCAGAAGTTTACGGTCTTCACTACGATGCGTGGATTTGATTGACGACGTATACTTACGGGGAAACGACTTGAGACCATCAAGAGGAATCATTACCCGCAAGATTGGTCAAGCTACGGTCGAGATCACAGATATGACAGATGCGACGGTTCATCGATGCCACATCGACCAAATTCACTTCAACGAAACTTCCACTTCGAAAGAAGCTCCTGTCGAAGAAATTCAAGGATACCCGAATGGTGAGACGCCGTCAACAACTACTGAAGATCGAAGGCAACAACCCTCTATTCCGGAAATGTCTGCCGATGAGAACATCCCACTGGCCCTCCGACGACCCATAAGAAGAGCGAGCCAAATTGACGATTTGGGTCCTGTGATTCATATTGCGTGGTTGGCGCTCCGAATTCCGTGCGTAATACTGCTGCTACTTCATTTGATAGTATATGGCTGATAAATCTATCACATGAATCAAAATGCTTGTTCACAATAAAATCAACCAACCCGGTGTTCGATTACAGTACCGTACAGTAAATGCTTTGTGGTAGTGGCGCAGCATCTCAACTATTAGGTTTTTTAAGAACGACCGATTTTCAGATGTATTTTGGAAAACATTGTCGGATTTAGCTGAAATTAAGGAGAGTTTGCATTCGGCTGAATCGGAGTCATTTGTTAAAATTTGATCTGTTTTAATTACCATTAATTGACTTTGACCGAAAAGTATGCGCACCACAACCCAATGACAATTATCACATCGCTCATGCCGACCACGGCTCATGTTGACGATACGGTCGTTTTTGAACGAATGGTGAAAAATTACCATAGATCACTGGACGGATTCTTGGAGGATTTCCGTGTTTTCCAAAGGGCTGTTTCCACTTCCTTGTACGTTTATGCGTCAATAACAGACAAACAACTGATACGGGAAAGAAAGTTTGGTCAGAAACTGACTCTGCCTGAGGGTTTTCCGTAATATTTTATCAAATATTGCTGTGTACATCACAGAAGACGCAGCGCAACTGCAACCAGGTAATTATGGCCCTCATTTCCAATGTATTTTACCCGTTTCAGGCTGCAAAATATCGATCGTCCGGCATTCGTTGGAATTTGCGCGATCGGGAGGGAGTACCGAGTGATTAAAAGTTGTCTGGTGCACAACCATGACTTCCATGTGGGTCAGCTGGGTCTGTATATAAGTATTCGTTGTCTATCTGGAGAACAGGAAGAGGAAGTGTGTACTTTGATGGACAATTTTAGAAGCATTCGCGAGCTAAGGGATTTCGCCACACACAGGTTCCAGAGACCCTTAACTACGGCAGATATAAGATTCATACGTCGAAGGAGGTCTCAGTCGGATTCACGTAGCGATGCAGTGAAAGTTAGGGATATGCTGGAAAATCAGGGAGAGGTTAAGATAGGGCAGAACGAAGGCGTCGCTTATCACATTTATTTTGTTCGTAAGATTATGCTGCACTGCGTCGCCAGGTTTAATGATGTTTTGTTAACCGACGCCACACATCAGCTAAATTGTGGCGGGTACGTGCTGTACTTGTAGACGACACCGGTTTAGGTAGAAGTTTCTTCTTCGCTATCCTGCCGAATGAGAACGGTGAGAGCTAGAGATCTGCTGTGGGGGCTATGAAAGCTATGTGTCCAGTCCTTGCACAATGCAAGACTATAGCAGTTGATCGTAGCTTGGCTCAGTACAACGCGTTTTCAGAATACCTTCCTTCCTTCCGCTAATGTGTTATTTTGTCGTTTCCATCTCGTTCAGAGTATGAAGAAGAAGTGTTACCAGCTATCTGGTATGCTAACGTTTGAAAAGCAGCGCATCTTTCAATGGATGCGCAACATAGTGTAC